AAAGGTTCCCCCCCCCCCCCCCCCCCCCCCCCCCACCGTCACTCTTATGCTTCCCGCCCCGGCCGACCTTGCAGCTCTCGACGAGGTCCTGAAGGACATGGAGGGCAGCGGCAGCTGCAGCAGCCTCCGGATGTTTCGGCTGCTGCAGGGCGACGTGGGGTCGGGGAAGACCGCGGTGGCCTTCCTGGCGATGCTCAGGGCCGCCGGACAGGGGTCGCAGTCGTGCATGCTCGCCCCGACCGAGGTGCTCACGGTGCAACACCTACAGGTATATGTGCTTGTACGTTCGTTCTGCTACTGACGATGTGGTCAATCGAGGTTTGCTCGCCTTGTAGTCTGTTGGTGTGTGTTGTGTGTATGTATGTGTGTGCGTGTATTTTTTTTGTTGTTGTTGGCATCGACCGCGGTACATTTCCGGCTGAGCGATGAAATCACGCCAGTTTGTCACGGCCGCTTCTGCGGCGACCAGCTTCTCTGGTTTGTGCTCGGGGTGGCCTAGAGCCTTGGGTGTGTTGAAGCATTGAAAGAGTCTTTTCTAGCCCCTACAACGTGTGACTCCTGACTCAGCGTCGCCTAAGTCATATATACCCTGGTGGGGGTTTTGACCACGTGTATGCGGTAGTTCGGTTCCAGGACGTCTTCTGTCTCGTAGCAGGGCTTGGAAGGGTTTTATTCGGTTTGGAACCGTCGCAGAGACCGTGTAGTCGCAATGTTCTCCCTTGCCTTCGGGCCGCACTGGTCGTTAACTTTGCAAGCGGGGGGTGACAACAGCAGTGAGGGCATGCCACTGCTGGGCAGATGGTCAAAGGCATTCGTCCACGCCAAGACAAGCGGCGGCAGTAGCAGCAGCATCAACAAGAGAGTACTTGCAAATGTTTTGCGGGAGGTTTCGACCGTGCTCGTGCGGCGCGCGCAAGGCCCACTTTTTTTTTGCGACAAACACCCGGTGATTTTCGTGCTGTTTAGCAACAATAAAAAAGGGTTTTGAAACGTTTTTGGTAGGCTTCACTCGAACTCTTGAACGCAAGACCCACTTAATTTTGCGACGAACTTTTGGGCTCCCAGACTCTGAGGTCGATGGCCGAGGGCATCGAGCGGCCGGATGGAAAGGGGAACCTGAGGGTGGAGCTGCTGACGGGCAGCATTAAGGGGAAGGCGAGGCAGCAGCTGCTGAACGACGTCAAGAGTGGGGAGGTACGTGCGGTTGGGTCGTTCGGGTTGTGTTTGTAAGACGAACTCGCTGCACTTAGTATCTTGCGGATGAGCGAGATTACTGGAGAGGCAGGGGGAGGGGGGGCACGCGGCTGTGACAGAGCCCCCTTACCCACGGGTACCTTCGCGTGGGTACACCAACCACAACGCCCGTTATGGTTTCGCTTGGTCCCTCCATGCCGCGTGTTCGTGTTATATATTTTTTTCCTCCCCAGTGATTGGGGAGAGTGCATTATTTTTTGTGTTGACGGCTCTCACAACCTACGAGGATCTTGGTCAAAAACCTTGTCAACATGTAACCCTTGTTACCAGGGCTGTCGTCGGTACCGTTTTGTGGGAGGTCACCAGCGTGGCGGTATTGCAAACACGCCGGTGCTTTTGCGGCGGTAAGCGTTTTTTCGTGTTTCGGCGGTGCCGCCTTCGGCGGTGCCGCCTTCGGCGGTCCCCCCGGTACTACCGAATGGTATGCCGGTAATCACCGCTAGTACCGGGACCACCGGAAAAAAACTCGTAGACTTTCCTGAGTTACCGCCGTGCCGGTGTTTGGTGGCCCCCCTGCAGGTGGACATTCTGGTGGCGACTCACGCGGTGCTGACGAGCGCGTCTACGGCTTTCCGAGATCTCGGCCTGGCCGTAGTGGACGAGGAGCAGCGGTTCGGGGTGGAGCAGAGGGACAAGTTGACTGGTGAGCCTCTCGCTGTTATCCTTGAGTCACCGCTCTTGTCGCCCTCATTTGTTCGTTTCCGTTCTGTTCCGTACATCCTTGCTGTGGACAACCGCAGGGGTGAGAGTCGGACGTTAGCATTTTCCCGCACTTTCAGAGGCGTTTATTTCTTCACGCATCCCGCGCCGACACCAACCGCACACGGCATTAACCGTGCGCCGTGAGAGGGTGTTCCTTTTCCCGAATATACCACTGCCGGCTACGTTGCGGTTGGGTCCTTCTCTCGAGCAAGGTTGATTTTGGCGTGCGCCACCATCCCCACCGCTCCTCGAGGTTTCTGTCGATGTTTTACCACACCGCTGTCGATCACCTTGCGCAGGCACGGACACGAGCTACCAAGCTCGTTTTGTGAAAATTGAGGTTTTCTCACACCCTCCCTGAAGAAGGAACGCCTCCTTCTCGCAGCAAACCCCTTACGTGCCCGCTCCCCGACCTTTGCCCCTCCCCATAACGCGTCTTGCGTTTCGTCGACCGCAGGCTTTGCGCAGCACGTGCTCTATCTCTCGGCTACCCCCATCCCGAGGAGCTTAACGTTGGCCCTCTTTGGCGACATGGAGGTGGGTCCTGTTATGCTGGACGTGCCGGAGGCATGTTATTTGAGGGGTGCGAGGGGGGGTGGGGGGGGGGGTGTACTCATAGTCGTGCATGCCGTAGTCGTTTGACCATTGACCTCGCATCCCTACAAAGCCGGGACGGAGCACGCCGGGTTCTCACCGGACCAGGCTCTCACATCACCAAGCGCGAAGCGCCGTGAGGTATTTGGCGAGTCGCATGGGGGGTGGGGGGGGGGTCTCGATTTGCTCGTCACAATCTCTCTAAAAATTGAGGAATGGCGATGGGTCAGTTTGTACTGGACGTGCAGGAGGCATGTTGATAGAGGGGTACCGGGGGGGGGAATGGTGGTCTCGAAGAGCCCGTCATCATCTCTCAAAAGTGAGGCATGGAGGTGGGTCATGTGGTGCTCGACATGCCAGAGGTATGTTGATTGAGGGGTGCGGATGGGGGTCTCGAAGTGCCCGTCACTTCTTAAGAATTGAGGAATGGAGAATGGGTCAGTTTGTGCTGGACGTGCAGAAGGCATGTTGATAGAGGGGTACCGGGGGGGGGGGGGGATCGAAGTTCTCGTCACCGTCTCTCAAGATTGAGGCACTTAGGCGAGTCGTTTTGTGCTGGAGGTGCCGGCGGCTATTTAGTCGGTTGAGGGGACCGTCGGGCGGAGGCAACGGAGTCTAGAAATTCCAGCAGTCAGTTCAACCATGCAGCCCATACCCTCCTTTCACAAGGCGCGGACGGGTTATGGCGGCCGTGCCCGCACTCCGAATGGGATAAACGTCAGTGCTAACTTACGCCAAACTTTGTAAACTTATCCGCCAAAGTTAGTGGTACGAGGTAACTGCTTGGCCTTGACCGCTTGCTCGTCAAAACCCCCCCGCTCGCCTATTGGGCGGCGAAACAGATCAGCCAGATCCGAGAGATGCCGCGAGGCACCGCGAACATCGAGACGACCCTCATCCCTGTGGCCAAGGCGAAGGAAGTCATGGACAGGCTCAAGGGTCGGGAAGACACCGATGACAAGGTGCGTTGTGGGTTGGAGGGCAGTGGGGATGGGGGAGGGCGAGTGCTTCGTGCTCACCCCTCTGTAGGTCCGACCCTGCCTAGCTGGTTGAAGCCCCTGTGTTAGTTGTGTTTCACAAGGCGAAAATCGTCACATGAGAAGGATTGATGCAGCAAGCTGCCTGCGCCCTTGGGCTTGAAATTATACAATAGCCGCGAAGAAAAGGTTTCACGCCATCCCTGGGTAGTGTCGCCATCATCCCCCTTGTTTTGACTGCGGCCCCCCCTTGCAAAGCTCCCTCATCAAACACTCTTCCTTTTTTCTTTTTTCGGTGATTGTGTCAGTTGTTTTCGGCGCCCGCTTCCGTTGAAGCTATCACCCTCTCTACAAGAGATTGAATTTGTGATTGAATTTGTGTATTTGGTCTGCTCTGCCACGCGTATGCCGGCCTCAGCGTATCCATCGCCAAGCCTTGCCCCAAAACAAGTGCTAGCCCAGCTTTTCATTTCCTCTCGGCCACACCCTGTTTGAAGCGTAAAGCCCCCGTGGATGAACATGGTTGCATCTCGCCCCCCCCCCCCCCCCCCGGCCACCCGCGGACCCAGGTGTTTTGGGTTCTCCCACAAAATCAACAAGTCTGAGTCTAGCACTAGACAGCACCTCGCTTCGGCCACCGAGCGGTACGATGCGCTCGTGAAGGAGCTCGGAGAGGATAGGTGAGCCCCGTCGTGTGGCCTCCGCATTCCGTCTTCGTTGTCCATCGTTGTTGTTGTTGTTGTTGTTGTTGTCGTTGTAGGCAATGATGATGATGTTGTTGCTGTTGCTCTGTTGTCGTTTTTGTTGGCAGTGTTGTTGTTTTTGTTGTTGTTGTCGATGATGGTGTTTGCTGCGAAATACCTTCGACGTTGCTCTTGCGACCGAACGTCGCCTGCAGTTGACAGAGCGTCAGCGTCGGTGTGAGAGCTGCTATAGGTGTCGCCGCGGTCCACGAGCCCCTTGGCTTTCACTCTCTTTTGTGTGTAAAATCCCACACGTTTCAGTGCATCAAGTTTGTGGTGATACAGATGCTGCTCGAAAGAACCTCACGCATTCATCTTCTCTCCAACAGGTTTCCTCGCGTAGCACCCTCCCTCCCTCTCCCTCCCTCCCTCCCTCCCTCCCCCCCGTACTCGGCACATTAAAAAAACGGCGTCTAGAAAGCTGAACCCACGTGCCAGCAAATACGAAAAATCCATGCATGCTTGACCACCCATCCTCCGGCAATGTGCGCTTCGCCCACCCCTTTTTTTTCGCCTTGCAACAATCAGAGAACGCAAGAAGCTCATTCGGCGTGGTCTCTTCCATCCAATGATGTGTCTTCTTTTTGTGTTGTGTGTCCGACTGACGGCAGGGTGACCCTCCTCCACGGCAAGATGACCTCGGCCGAGAAGAACAAACGCCTCTCCGAGTTCTCCGGCGGGGAGAAGGGCAAGGGGCTCCGCGTGTTGGTGTCGACCAGCATCATCGAGGTGAGCGTGAGATTCGTCAGGTGGAGTTGCGCAGGGATCCGCCTACGGACGGCGATGATGCGAGCGGCAGTGATGGGGGAAAAGCTAGGCTTGATGCAGGCTGGAGATCAAGAGCGTGCAGGGTAGCGGTACATTGGCGGCGTTTGTTCCAGGCTGAACGTGCTACGATTCTTGGTGATTTGTTTCATCGACATCATTGATCCCCCTTGTGTTTTCGGCGATGACTAAAGGTCGCTTTGAGATACCACCGCGTTGGCTTCACAGTACGTTTCATCCTGCCGCAAGATATTGATCCGGCCGCCGACGGAAATTTCTCCTCCCCTCCTCCGTCGCACTGCTGCTGCCCTTGCTTGCTGATCGCCGCTTGTGTCTCAAGGTCGGCGTCGACGTCCCCCGGGCAGGGGTGTGCGTGGTCGAAAACGCCGAGATGTTCGGTCTCAGCCAGCTGCACCAGCTCCGCGGCAGGCTCGGAAGGACCGACCGGGGGAAGCGGGAGCGATCAACGACAGCACCGACGGGATCTTTGCAGCAGCCTGCTTCCCCCGAGGTAGGTGCCACTGTGCCACTGCTGCGAACGGGGACCGGGAGGGCAGTCGGTCCGGGTGTTCCGCGACTACCACCATCAACGCCACACGGCATTTGTTTTTTTTTTTTGGGTGTGGTATGTAAACCGTGAAAGTGTGAACAGTCATCGCCCACGCACCCTCGGATGAGTGAAGAAAGCCCGAACCGATAAGTCCACATGGTGCGGTAACCGACAAATACGCGCAAGGGGAAGCTGTCGGCGAGATTTTGTTTCCCGACACCACCCTGCCCTTTTCTCACCGGCAGTCTCTTGGCTGTGGAGCAAGTGAGATATGAAAGTGCGTGATGACTCGCACGTTTCCCCGGACAACGGGGTTTCAACAGCAGTGGTTCAACTGAAGTGGGAGGAAACATGAAGCTGTGGTACTATAATATCTATGTAGTTGGAACGGATCCCCACCGTCCGTTGTTGTGATGATTGTGACGATGCTTCCATTTGCTTGTAAATGATGACTGTGTGTGCTCCCGCAGTGAGTTGCCGCAGCGGTGGCCCCCCGCTGTTCCGCCGCAGTGAGCGCACGTACGCCAAGTGCTGGGAATTTTGATCGCCAGCCTCCCATACACACCACGCAGTTTGGTTTGCGATCGGCGCAAAAAACAAGTGTTTTCAACAATGCATGTTTTTGTGTGCTTAAAATTGAGCTGTTACAAAAGCAATATCTTCGTTTTGTATTTCCCAAAGATTTTGGGTAAAATATTTGTCTTGTAAAAGCTAAATGTACACTTGATATGCCGTTGCTTGCCTCGATCCCCCGCACTACTGTATTCCTTATGCCGATGGCGACGATCACGTGCCTTCCCCGCCCATGACCAGGAGGACCCGTCGCAGGACAAGAGGCAAACCTCCCACTGCATCCTGCTGTACGGGCCAGACGTAGGCAACGATGCCACGGAGAGGCTCAAGGCCGTCCGAAAGACTCGCGATGGGTTTCTGTTGGCGGAGAGGGATCTGGCCCTCAGGGGCCCCGGGGAGGTGCTCGGGATGCGGCAGAAGGGGTACATCGAGGGAAAGTGAGTACACGATATATTAATGACGTAAGATATCACCCCCCCCCCCTGGACCAAAGCTCAATTAATCCACAGTCACAGAAAGAGCGGCCGCGTCGAGAATGTCAGCGTTGGAACCGGCTCGTCGAGAGCTTTCCGAAACCGTATGGTTTGTTGTAAACATCCTTTTTGTTTCATCGCGGAGTACTCGAGCTTGGACAGTCGGTGCAGGGGGTGTGGTATCTTGCGTCACCTACGGTATATGAAGTAAACTGCCGTGTCTGTCGCCCACGAAGAAGGTGTCATATATATATATTTTTTTTTTATCTTGACGCATTTTTTTTTTTACAAAGTTGTTGTTGTTGGATACAGCAGCCTAAATGGTAACTCGTTTTTGCTCCTCGCAAAGCGACGTGCTACGAACCCTCCGCCGCAGACTTTGAAGTGTCGCTGCGCGTATGCTTGTTCGCGGCCAGGCCTGTTTACCGTCCTCCGCTGGGGCATGGGCGCATCGAATCCGATTGAAGTTGGCGAGGGTTGATCTGTGAAGCACGAAAGTAGGATGTGACGTCATGGCTATCTTTCGAATTGTGGCGGCTCCGCCTATTATAGGGTGTCCTGTTGGCCCCCTCCTCTTTCCCCCCCCCGCCCGTTTCCCTACAATGACAAACACCGACATCCCTCGTCGCGATGATAACTGCGACCAAAAGGTTCACCACTCGTTTTCCCTAACGACAATGACAACAACACCCCTCTCGGCGCGATGATTACTAACTGCGACCCCCGACAGGTTCAAGGTGGCCGACCTCGCCCGACAGGGGTCCCTCGCCGAGCACGCCAGCAAGCGCGCCCGCCGTCTCGTAGAGAGCTGGACGCCTCGAGGCGCCGCCGCCGCCGCCGCCGCCGATGCCGAGGAAGCCGCCGCTTCGGGGGCTCCGCGAGTGGGGGGCACCGTGGCTTTGAAAGAGGGGGGTGCCGGTGCTGACTATGATGAGGAGAGAGGCCGGCCGGAGAGCCTCGGGCTGCTGCTGGTGCTCTGCGGGCTGGGCGCCGATGCGAAGGCTCTGCTGAGCGGCTTCGCGTCCAGAACGCCCCCTCCAGGCGGGGCGGACGGCGACGCCGCCGGCGTGGCGGCAGGCGGGGACGCGGACCGGGCAGGAGCGGCGGCGAGAGAGCGCGAGGCAAAGGAACACGCCCCCCAACGAGCGACGGAACTTCCACAGTCGTTCCCGGTTGCGGCAGCAACACCTGATGATGTGGAAAGCCTCAACACCAGCACCCCCGCTGCTGACGCCCCCCCCGCGTCGTCCTCCTCCGCCCCCGACTTCGCAGCCAGAGCGGAGGCGGAGGCGACGGCGGCGGTGGGGGTGTCGGGCTCGCGGATGACTGCGGGCCCGGGCAGCAGTGGCAAAGAACCGGGGCCGGAGCTCGCGGTGCCCGCGGCGGTGTACTTCGACGACGAGGCGGACTTCTTGGAGAAGTCGGCCTCGGAGTACGCGGAGATGATGGAGGGCCAGGACGAGGAAGATGAGTATCTCTCGGGGTTCTCTTTCGCGCCCCCGCCCCCGCCGCCGCCGCCGCGTTTGCAGCCGGCAGGGCGGCAGCAGCAGCAGCACGAGAGAAGGTCTTCAGGAGAGGTGGCGCCGACGGGGCCTCCGGTGGGAGCTGACGGAGGTGCATCGAGGGGGGAGGGCGTGGCGATTATCCGCCGGGCGGACTTGTCGGAGGGGACGCACACGGTAGTCGTGGTCGATGTCGAGACGACGGGGCTCCGGGCTAAGGAAGACCGGGTCATTCAGCTCGCGGCGAAGGTTCGCAGTGCGCAGCGTTGTGTCGAGAGAAACGGCTCTCTTTCTGCGGTATTGCACCATGGACGCCGGTCGATTCAGTGGCTCCGTGCTGCTTCCACGGAGAGCCCGTACGTAGCGCTTGTTTCGGGGTGAAAAATGCCGACAAACCGACGGGATGCCCTAGGTCACCGTCGTGGCCCTTGGGCGAGGAAGGCCGAGAGTTTCAGCGTTGCACCGATGGCGGCCCTAAGGGCGGTCAGAGCCGCCTCGTCTCAAAACAAAGCTCGAACCAGGCGTGCGACTGCTGTGCGCACACAACTTAAACGCGATGTTTTTGTGACTCGTGGGGCGTAGTAAAGGGACGTGTTCCGGCCCGAAAGTCCAGCTTGTTGTGTGACCAAGCTCACTACTTGATCGAGCTCCGTAATGCTGTGTATACTATCCACCTGAATATTGTTTCCTCTCACCAGTGTGAAGCCAAGGAGTGTTCCTCACCCTCGTGTTTTCTTGGCCGACCTGGACGTGTGCATACCAAGAGGGCGTCAACCAACCCCCCCGCCGACGCCTGCGCCCCCCCCCCCGCCGACGCCGCCACCTGTCTGTCCGTTGCAGGTCTTGGGCAGCGAGAATCCTAGGCACTCGTTCGCGGAGTTCGTCGACCCGGGGGCAGTGGGGGTGCCTCCCAGAGTCCGAGGTACGCCCTGCTGTGACATATTTTGGTGTTTTTTGGGCTGCCGCTGTGTAGGCGTGATTCTAAGGCCTACCTGGCGTGGGGTGTGTGTGGTGGCAAGCTCTCTTAATATAATGACGGGGCCTCTCATCGTCGCTGATCCAACGCCGGAGCTGCGCGGTGCGTCGCCGTGGCTGTGTAGCAGGCGAGAGCAAACACGCGCCAGCTTTGGTCTTGCAAGAGTTCTGTCTCGCAGGACACGCCAGCTTGCTTGCTGCCGCGAGAGTTCCGTATAATCAGGAGAAAGGTAGCACGCTCCAGCTTTCTCTGAGTTATCGTATTGTAGGCGTTACTGTTGTCTACCCCACGGCATTCCCTCGATGACGCGTGTTTCTGTGGTGTTCCATACCGCAAAACCTCCGTTTATGGTGAGCGTTACTGCTGTCTACCTCACGGCGTGCCCTCGACAACGCTTATCTCTGTGTTCCGTGCGGCAAAATCTCCGTTTTTGGTAAGCATCTACGTGGTTGGTAAAGCGTTAACCGTCTCCCTCACCGCAAATACTCCGTTTATGGCAAGCGTTACTGTCTCTGCGTCACCGCATGACCACGAACGCGGCGTGTTCCCAAACGGCAAACCCTGTGTGTCTTTCGGACAGAGATTACGGGGATCACGCCGGAGATCCTGGCCGCCAACGGCGCGCGCCCGTTCCCCCAAGTGTGGCCGGAGTTCGCGGCGTGGCTGTCGGGGGTCGTGGCCGAAGAGCAAGCGGAGGGCAGGGGCGAGGGCGGCGTCGTCTTCGTTGCCCACAACGCCCAGTTCGACCACAAGTTCCTCAAGGAAGAGGTGTCGCGATGCGGCTTCAGCAGGTGTGGGCGGTTTTTCGGGGGCTGCTGGGCTATGCTGGTTGGGGTTAAAGGTCATTTTGGACGGCGTTGTGGATGGCGCTTCGGGGTGGTGCGGTCAGGCTGGCAGCCAGGGGAGTAACATAGTCGGGGATTTTTTGTTGTTGTTGTTGTTGGCCGACCACGACAGGTGTTCGTTTGCGCTCGGCAGGGCATCGAGTGCTGTTTTTATGCATGCCTAGAAAGAAACATAGCTTGTCCTCGGGTTGTTTTTTTCCCCTTTCGTGCACCGGGTGAGTTCGCGGTGCGTGCTTGCACTCTTCCTCTTCTCCTTGTCGGTATTAGTAGAAACCCCGCGCTTCTGTTGTTTTGCTTGGCCGCCTTGAAGGTTCATGATGGGCCAGGACATGGGAGTCGTGTGCATCGTTGACTCCCTGAGGTGCTTGAAGGAGAGCAGCTTGTGGAGACAAAAAGCCTCTGACTTTCACATGCCGACGAGGCCCAAGAATTTCAAGCTCGGGGGTGAGAGAACGACCCGGGGAAGCGGGGACGTGGTTGTGATGTGCGATAGTTTGGGGTTTGGTTAGTTTGCGTCACGGCCGTTTCCTGGTTCTTCGTTTTGCCCAGCCCCCTTCCAACCGTGGTATATTGCTATGCTTGCAAGCGCAGCCTAGACCAAGTCTTGTGGTCGGTATATCGTGCCCGAGCAAGCAAGTAGGCGGTGACCACGCACACGTTGACACGCCCCGACTGGATACCAAAAATTCTACTGACCTGGGCAAGGATGCGACTTGGTGGCTAGTTGGCTTTGCCGCCGTCGCAAATCGATTGGGATTGCTGTAGGGAGGAGGGCTTGGGTGTAGGACTTCATTTTCTGGGCCTGTCGCGCAGGTGATGAGGTGATGTGACTGATTTGTAGGCCAACAAAGGTGCCTGATTCAGTGCTCGAAGTTTGAGACATTTTTATTTCTACATGAGCATGGATTTTGCGCGTGCAGTACTGACACCCCATTGCCCTGTCCTTTTGCTGTTTGTCTGCTTCACCCGGTCACTTTTTCCCTGCGATAACGCCTCTGCTCTCTCAGGGGTGTTCGAGCACCTGTACGGCTACGAAATGCCAGACGCGCACAACGCGATGGGCGACGTCGTTGGACTGGAACGCATCCTGTCGGCGCCGGGCATCAATGAGGGGTGGGTGGCGGCGGGGCCGCTCTGTTGGGTGTTCTTGGTGTTTCCAGAGAGCGCGCGTGCTGAATCGTCGACGACGTTGTTGTACGTAAGCAGTGACGATGCCTTTTGCGACACGTTCCTTTGCATCGTTTCTTCTGCCCTGAATCGGACTCAGCATGAACGTTGTCGAGTGACCGCTGTTGTTGTGTCTAACTTGTCCAGCGCCGGTGAATGAATTGATGCCCAGTGGTCAAATTGTCTAACCGCCCTGGCACTCCAAACATGAGTACGCCCCCCCCCCTACCCCCGCTGGCTGTCTGTTAGGTGGCGAGGCGTGGCTAGCAGCCACCCCTCCTGCCAGATACCCGTTCCGCGTTCCTTGGCGGAACTGCAGGCTGCGACGAACATCGCCGCCCGCACGAGGAAACCCCCAGCAAGAAGAACCAAGGCAGACGGATGGCGGTACTACAACAACCGACGGACCGGGCGATGACCACGATTGATTCCTGTGGAATCGTTCACGAGTCTGGTTCCTCTGAGCAATGTGTACGGGTGACGTCGGGTATTGTTTGTGCGTTCGCTGCGAAGAGAGACAGGCGTAATTTTAGGATGGAACCTTGGATTTCCATTCGTTTTTTATATCTTGTGAGGTGTGCTTTTCTGTTAGCCTCTTGTATCATAGCGCTTTCACTTCTGGTAAAATTGGAGGATAGATAGTAACAGTCCCGTGTGTTTTTACGGTGGAGGAGTGGAGTGGTGGGATCGAGAGAAGAGAGCGTCTATTTATAAGTAAACTAGGGAGTTTTCAGCAGAGAGGTTCGTTCGCTTCTGATAAAAGCTGCGCGGTGTGGAGCGGGGTTGTGAGCGAGAGTGCTTGGTATTCGCTTGCTGTTCCAACAGAAGACTGGGGTTACAACCACGTCCGAAAATGCGGCAGGACGCCACCTGTTTGCAAGTGAAACGGTGTTCGTTCAGAGTGTCAACGTCGAGGAACTCTTATCATCGCCACCGAAATTCTCGACCTTGTGTATCGATGAGGAAGAGCTGGTGGAGGTAACCCCAAATGGCACCCTGGTTATCCCCTTTGAGAGTACTCCACCCTCTCGAGAAATGTCGAAACCCAAATCGGACGCCACAGCAGCAGCAGTAATTTCTTCCCAACTCGAATATTTGTCATCCCAGAAAAATAGGAGTGTGGTCGAACGGCGGCAGAGTCTCCATGCTCAGCATCGCCGCTGTGTGTGTTTCCCGTAGATTCGCCCTCTCCCACCGTGTGCGTTGTGCCGGATGCGGCCAACGCACCTCAAACAGCGCAAGAAGGGGCGGGCACTACTGCTGTACTCACTATATAGTCTAAAATAACAAGTAGACAGTAGCCGAAATCCAGAAACCCACACACCTCACGGGCGACCTTGGGACGCGAAAGTTGCGTGCACCTCGATCAAGTAGTGGCGTCGTCCCATTCGAGGAGGGGCCATGCCTGCGCTGCACTAGGCTCGAATATTTGATGCTACGATCGGGTATCGATAACGAGTTGGGCCTATGTACAGCAGTTTGCATAGAGCTGGTTAAGTCTACCCGCGCATGCCACCACCGAGACGACTCATGAAATATTTTCTATGATAGAGATGGATTCGTCGTGTCATACTAGGAAAAATAAAAAAATAAATGACTTGCTTCGAGAGCAGAGTCAATAAACGAAGGAAATCTTACATGTACTCCAGGAGAGTAGTCTACACCTTACCGTCTCGCGCGAGGGTTAGGAGCAACCCTTGTTGCGAACCGGGCGTAGCCGGACCAGCGTGTCATGCAATGCATGGTTCTGAGGCCTTCATGGACGGCCGATGGATGTGCCGATGAGCTCAAGAGTGAGCAGCACCGTATTGGCCCGAGAGTCGAATTCTCCCGCACCCTCATCAAAAGGGAGGTGTACAAAAATCGTGATACATGTCACGGAGCCTCCATGGTAGAACATCCCCAGTGCGGCCGCACGCTGCGGAGCAAGACCAGTCTGTCAGACTGCCATACGCTGCCCTGTGCCCGCAGAGCGCCTCTCGGAGAGAAAGAGACAACAGCGACGAGCTGGTCGTGGGGTAAGTAGCTTGGCGGAAGCGCGCCGTGGTGGCTGGTGGGAACCCCGGTACCTCCCATGGCGGCAGAAGCGGCGGCTTCTTCGGGTGCCGATCACGGAGCCGGTCACGGTCATGGTGGCGGCGGCGGAGGCGGGCACGGAGGGGACGGTGGCTACGAGACCCCGAACGCGGGGTACCTGTGGCTGGGCCTGTGCTTCCTGGGCATCATGTGCTCGTTCATCGTGTACGGGATCGTGATGGAGTACGCCACGAGCGGCGGCCGAGAGCTGCACGAGCTGTCGATGATCTTCCTTACGTCCCTGATGTACAGCGTCACCGCTTGGTACGGCCGCCGCATGAACGGAGAGGTGAGACTGCTGATGGGCGGGATGAGACGGGCACAGCAGTTGGTCGCAGAGGTGCACGAGGCAGAGAAGAGGATGGCTTTGGTTGCGCGGATTTTGCCGCACTAGACTTCTGCTGTGGAATATGGTGATCGAACATCTCCCTCGCCAATGGACACGAGACATCTCCGTACAAATTCTCATTCGCTTTGCACGTGAACCACAAGAGTGCTTGCTCCAACAGCAGCGCAGGCGTGATCGCCACGTTCTGCAAAAAAGATGCAACGGGAGTCCAGCAGCGTTGTTTGTAGCTTCCCCCAAGTCTCTCTATCTGTGCGGTTCGTTTAAAAGCAATGCACGGGAGGTTTGAAAGGTTGGTGGTGATGAGTCTCGTTGACATGCGGAGAAACATAAGCGTAGCATACATTCGCATACAGTCAGCATGCGGTTGGGCATTGGAGTGATGCTCACCAAGAACTGCAGAGGACTGTGCTGTGAGGCCCTATGCATAAATCGGGACTCTTTACTTAGTTAGGGAGGCAAATTGCCGCAGAGTAGGTATCGACTGCAGAGTATGTACGTGAGGGAAATATGAAAACAAATTAAGCAAACAAGTTGTTGTCGCAGTCGAGGAGAGAGGTGAATGTGAGATCGTGCGGTTAAGATTGACGGTTCCACCGAGGGTGTGGCCGATTGGTCCATCATGGTACAGACATCGCGGGGGCTAACAAATTTGGTCGCAGTTGTAGACTGCGAGGCATCCAAAAATTCATATAAAGCCCTCGGTGGTTATGGGCTGGTTCTCAGCAGCTGGGGCAGAGGATGATCGTCGATTGCCCTCAAAACATGCACGGTTTGAGAGGGTAGAAGGACAGCGGTAATACATAGGTGCCACTACATGTGCTGCATATGTACGGCAAACTACAAATACGTGCCGACCACAGATAGATCGTTTAGATTTTGCCGCGTCCCGCGTGGTCATGTATGTGCCCGCCGAAGAGAGTGCTCCCTTTCTGTCATTACAGCCGTGTTCAGAAACAGACAGACCAGTAAGTTTTGCATCCAACATGAGAGAGGGGCAACCCGACTGAGATGGGAGTTACAGGGGGGGGGGGGGGGGGGGGGGGGGTT